TTTATGACAATTTTGATTTTATTTGTACAGCAGAAAGGATATGGCAATTTAACACCCCGTCACGACGTTATTGCAAAATGAGACGACTTTTCAAAAGATGATAGTCTCGTGCTACTACCCGAATAACCTATGTCGTTAATTCCTAATGAAAACATTTTAAGAAAATTCCCCAAGAATAAGCATGTCCTCACTTCTTTCTCTGTACAACATTAAAGGATAACAAAGTCTTAAGATTATTACGCATGTTTTGTTGCATCCACTCATTCCTCTCTTGTTTTTTTCTTCAAGTTAATATAATCTAAACGAGGACCTACTATTTTCGTTGTGTGAGCTGTTGTGGGTCCCTTTTTAATACCATCCGCCTTCGCGTTCGCTTGCCTCGTCTGAATTTTTGCGTTCAACATTCGCGCTGCTGGCGTGCTGATTTAAACATTGAAAAGAGAGAAAAAAAACTAAGATTTGCTTGTGGAACGAATTTATCTGTTTACGTTTGAGCTTCCCGCATTAACGCGGAGATCTGTGACATCCGTCTTGAATGTCAAAAATTTTCAGTAGATGGTGCCACACTCTTTTTCAAAATAATTTCCAACATTTCGGGCATATTGCGATGTATTACACATTTGGTCGATTTATATATTAAAAAAACTGTTGTAGTGTTCTACATTGTAATTAATCGTAGTATTTAACCTTTTGTAAAGAAAATGACAAATTTTCAATATCTTAGATTTCAAGAGCTAAGGTAACAAATTACTTTTAAAGCTTACTTCTCCAAGTTATTAAGAGCTCAAAAGCTAGTTCGAAGTTTTGAATATAAAAGCTACTTGGCCGATTTGCCATAGCCGAGAATATAAAAAAAGAGATAGCGAAAATTTGCACAATACCGAGAACAGCAATTGTTAATGAGGTTTAATATATAGTACGAGTATACTGGCCTACATACTGCATTCTGTTGGAGAGTGAAAAAGGTTTAAATGTTCAAAATGATTTTTATCTTTGAAACAGTAGCGGTCACAGAAAAATTTGTTGGATGGGGATAGAAGAAAATCAACAAAAATGGGCGTAGTTTCTATCTTCTGGACTACGCCTCATTTTGGTCTAAGCTGCCTGAAAACATTCTCAAATCCGAGTAATTTTTGTGAGACTTCGGCACAAATCTCAAAAATTTATGAGCAATTTAGGTCGTCTTGATTAGTCCAGTTATC